ATAAGCGATTCTGTTTTGTTATAATTATACTAAAAGTTGTGTATTCAAGATTCGGAGATCTCTCGCATTGTAGATCCTATCTAAACATAGCCTTTATAAGGCGACGTTGAATTAGCGATATGTACTACTCGAGCAAGTTTTGTATACGCATATCATTACTTGTAAGTATCCATTGAGATGTTCAAAAGTGGTGGTGTGCCTGCCACATGCTGCATTTAACAAACTTTTTCTACTGAATAATTAAGAGCGATATTTTTCCTGTTTTCAAAAATAGTCTTAGGCCAATCGCAGTTTTGTCTGGCTATGTTGCTTCTCATAGCGCTTGAACTATCAACCGCAGCAACTCCGAACATTATCTTTCCTTAGCGTTTGAAGTGCTATTTACCTTACATTTCTGAAATGTAAACGAGTTTTTCAGATTGTCGACGTAATGAGCTTGGACAACAAGATCTTGGCCTATCGTTTCATCGGATGCGCCACACTGGTATTCTCAGTCGTGTCAGCGCTTTCCATCTGCATCACACTCCCAATGGTTTTGGAGTATGTGAGTAGCATCAAGATCCGAGTCAACAGGGATGTTAGCTACTGCAAGGTGAGCAGCTCTTAAACTTGTTCCTTTGGACCTCCGTGAAGTAAATCACTTTCAGACTTCTGCTCAAGAAATCTGGTCGGAAATAAGTTCACTGAAATCTATCAACAGCACACGTGCACAGCGACAAGCAGGCTATGCGACACCGCCGTACAGTTCAACAGATGCAACTATTACCGGCGGTGGCGTGCAGGTAGGAGGCGATCCATGCGCAGGTTGCTGCGCTCGTGGACCACCAGGTGTTCCAGGATTACCTGGGAAGTCCGGAAAAGCTGGTAAATCTGGTGCAGCCGGAGCCAATGGACTACATGGAAAACCGCCACTTTCACCCTGTGAAGCAGTCTCACCACCCCCATGCTCTCCATGCCCAGCCGGCCCACCAGGTCCACCAGGACCAGCTGGATTCCCAGGTCCAGCTGGAGCACCTGGCGAAGATGGCCACCCAAGCCCTCCCGGCAGTGCCGGCCCACCAGGACCCAAGGGATTGCCGGGATCAAAGGGAAGAAATGGACAACCAGGATCTGGAGGAGCTCCAGGAACACCTGGTAATTCGGCTCCCGAAACACCAGGGCAGCCAGGAGCGGCAGGTCCTCCAGGACCAGCTGGACCCCCCGGTCCAAATGGAGTCGATGGAATGTCATATGGTGCGGGTCCTGCAGGACCTAAGGGCCCTCCAGGTCCACCAGGTGCGCCTGGTTCCGACGGCAATCCGGGTCCACAAGGCTCTGCCGGTGAAAAAGGCAAAGCAGGAGAGCGAGGAATTTGTCCCAAGTACTGCGCCATCGACGGTGGTATCTTCTTCGAGGACGGGACAAGGCGATAGAATGCGATCAGAGTTCTATTATGTATTTCATTCACAGCTAACGTATAAATATATATTACTTTTTTCGATGTACTTATACGACAGAGAGCGCGAATTGAATGTAACTACATAAATATGTATGAAATACATATATCTCATTTTCTGAGATCAGGAGCAGCGACAAGCTAAGACTGGAAAGGCGAACCTAAACGGGATATCCATCTATCGAAGCTGCTTAAAGACAATTCCCGCGATCAAGTGTAACGGGTAGTTGGTGCTCAGTATTGAACAGCGGCCATAAGTAGCTCCTCAGTAGAAAAAGAAGCGAAAAAACCTCGGGAACACCCTAAACACAGACCTCCCCTCAGCAGTGGGGCGGCGTCTTGGACGAGTATGTCGGACGTGAAGGACGCGCTCTCCATAGCGATTGGAGCGCAAAGCTTGAGCCGTGGGACCGTGGCGTGAGCGCCAGGCAATTCCTGGCCAAGCGATGCGATATTCGTGTTGGAGGTTGAACGTGGAAACAAAATTTCCAGCCTTTTATTCAAAAAGCTCGATAGTAAAACTGGTCTGATGTTGGAGTAGTAACAACTGAATAGTGCCCCCATCTGAAAAGATCATTAGGTGAGACTAAGTAGCACTCTAACTGCTCTTCACTTCACATCCTCCTCATTGAAATCGCGCTTGCGAAAAGTATGGAAGACGAACTACATGTTCACCTCCTTCTCATTGCAGAGTATGGAACTCAAGAAAGGTATGCTGCTGCTTTTGTTCACATCCTCCTAATTGGAATCGCGCTTGCAAAGACTATGGAACTCTAAAACAGCCTAAGTCGTCTTCAATTTATGTCCAACGGTGCGAGGTTTGCGCTTAATCGCTATGGAAAGCGCGGATCACCGAAGATGGCAAAGTGCCAGAAGCGCCGCGCGCGACACGTGCCGCGCGGGTGTTGTAGGGATAGAAGCTGCTCGCGAGCCGTTGTCTCGCTACCGCTGTTCAACCCGAGATTTAACCCAGGACCGTTGCGAGTGGTAAGCGTACCACTTGTCACTACACCACCTCTATATTCGGATTACTATATTTACAGAAAACTCTTGAAGTCACCCATAACGACGCATTTATTGCAAATGCTACAATCAAATCAGATCCACCGATGGACTTCACATTATGACATTCTCGCTGGTAATAACTCCGTAGATGTTGAATTCTACTTTCCCACACGAGCTGTATATAAGTAACGTCTTTTGCCAACACGTGCAACGTACAGGCGTTTTTTGATGGGCGTTGGAGAGTTCCTGAAATTGGATTTCAATGTAATATGACCTAGGGCAAAACTTCTTAGAAGTATTGAAAGCGACGCCGTTAGCAGTTGCAGAAGGCTCACGTCCTGGGGCGTTGAAGACCTGAAAAATCGTGACGCGCAGAAAGCTTTCTGTTGCGGGTCCTAGGAGCCTGACGGGCTCATTCTGTCTATGGTGCTCATCATTGCAGACCGGTGGGGCGGTGCGTGTGACTCGGCTGTGACGCGACTGTCATCGCTGCCGCGTCACAGCCGAGTCACACGCACCGCCCCACCGGTCTGCAATGATGAGGACTGTACATATTCCGTGACGTCATGATACACCGCTGTGCTCCATCAGTTGTCGTTTTCTCGTTCAACCCTGGTCCTGATCAGTGTCCCATCGCCCATTGCAAATGGTTTGAGCATCTTGTGCTCTTTCAGTGATCATTATCAAATGCAAGAATGAAGGGATTCATTGAGAGCAGTTTATGCTCATTCCTTCACTACTAACTCAATTAGCTCACAGCAATTCTGTTATTGAAACTCTATGAATTTTATGTACGACATGCAGTAACGATTAGTGCCTCAACTATCCTGTTTGAAGGCGCGATTTGCGTCAGAGAGCGTCAAAACTTAGCGATGACGTGCGTCGACGCGCTTAAATGCGTTGTAACAAGCGTCGAATGCGATGAAATTACAACAGCGCTTCAAAGCTATAGACGCAACCGCAGCCGCGGATGGCCAGTACCAGTCTGCGTGACTACGCAGCACCCGGCCCCCACTGATCGAGCTTTCTCAGACGAGAGCGGGGCACATCGTTGTTGGGGAATCCCAACAGGGAGGGGGGGGGGCGTATTTGGTCCGCCAGGAGGGGGGGGTCGTATTGGGCTGAGAAAAATTTTTTGATAGTTGATTTTTCTCGCTTCACGGACGTTGTAAAGGGAGGGGGTCGTACTTGCTCATTGTTGGGAGGGGGTCGTATTTACGTTTTGGCCATTCTAGGGGTGTGGTTGACTTTCATCCGTGATTTTCCTGTTTCATGGCGTACTAATATACCCCCCCCCCCCCCCCCGGGCCTATTCGATGAGGAGGGAGAGGGGTGGGTCGCACCAACCCCCAAAAAAAGGGGGAGGGGTCGTACGGACTCGACTAAAAGCCTCGACCAATGATGTGCCCTGGACGAGAATCGATCGGCGCCGGCCCTCTGCGGCTGGGTTCGCGTCTTTAGCTTTCGGAGAGCGTTCCACTGCGGCGTGATTGTAGCGCGTCGACGCGCGTTTCAGGGCGTTGCAGCGCGTCGACACGCGTCATTGCGATGTCTCAACGCTGCCTTGAGGTGAGGATGGCTCGGTTCACTGTGGCATCCACATGCTCAGCCAATGTGTTAGATGAGCTGGGAGCAGACACAGCGGCCGTGCAGACGAAAACGGAAAACTTAGTCTACCAACCCGAACAATGGAGTTTGGCGATTCGCCCTAGTGATATGCCTTCATTTCGTTTTCTTGGCAGCATCTTAATAGACAGATGAGGTCAAATCTATGAAGATGATGAAGTAATATGCAGTACATTTATTTTCGGTAGAAGCGCTGGTAGTCTCCTTACTTGCCCTGCCTCTACTGCCTGTTGGCGTGCAGGAAACATAGGGTGACATTTCTGAAGGGCCTCAGCTGCAAAATACGAACCCGTGAACATCCGCAATCTTACATCTCTCGGATAACTCCAAGTATATGCTTCACAACTTGAACCATTTCCTGTACAATACCTTAAAGTAATTACCCCTAGTTCAAGTAACTGGAAAGAACTTACACTGAGTTTTCGCTCGTAATCGATGAGCGCTTGCCAACTCGTGGATACGGTACCAATAATGAGGTAAGTGGCAGTGACGAGCGTGATATCCTGTGTAGCGGAAACACGGCTACTGTAAAAGATTTCAGTTGACTGACTACTGTGAATTATGACAATGCGACGTCACTCAAGGGCTGAAGTGTTCAGCACTATTATTGAAAGCTTACATTTTAACCAAGTAACAAAAGCCTATGAAAATTTGCATAAATTATATTCAGCCCCCGCTCTTGTTGACGCTCACCTGGTTAATCTTTGGATAGAAGGTGGACAGGGGGCAGTTCGGCAACGTAGAGGGGCGTTTTGCACTTTTGCTACTTTCCATCGAAGAGTGGACCCATCCAGAGAGGATCCCGTCGCCGAACTGCGCCGGTGGGTAGATTGATAGCTAATAGGTATAGATCACGTTGCATACCTGCTTCGATTGCACCTTAGCGTTCACTTCCGAACCGTAACCTTCAAGCGTGATCAGTACCTAGATACCTCCTTGGGAAGTCCAAGGCAATCATAACTATCTTTGAGTTGTTTCATTATGCAAGCAGCTGTTAACGCCGCAGTTCGCGCACCAGAAGCCATCACAAGAATGCTGAATTGTGGACCAAAGTGAAATCCCAGGCGGGATTCAAACCTGCATCACCCGCTGGCCAGGCGCGTGCCCTATGTATTACGCCCTCGGGGCCGTTCTGACCCTCTCAGCTCTGGCTTTTGTGTGATGACCTCAGCAACCTATATTCCATTGCTGACCGTAAATTCATTAAGAAAAAATGGTAAAGCAGAAGTACTGCTGCTCAAAGACACGTTTCGTTCCCAAGTAGTTGGTGGAATACCATTGCCCATCTGGTGACCTAATCTGCAGTACCATTTGGTGAACCATTTTCGCCACCAAAAGTGCGACTAGAAGGATCCGTGAACCGCGTAACTTGCAACCACTCGGATGTGCGTGGCCAATATAGCCCACATGGCAACGACCCACATGGTTAACTGCCGCGCTTTTGTAGCTTGCAGCATCTAGCACGATTTCATCGTCTCATGGCGGTGCCAACAGCAAGGGGGGGGGGGTGGTACTACGAAAGTGTCGACGCTTGCTCACTAACTCGTCAAACTGGACTCGTCAATTGTGACTGCGTGATCGCCGACGGGGTCCTTATTCAGTACGTTGACGATGTTTATGCTTCTTTTCTTTACAATTTACTTTTCAAGATAGCATGCAGTGTGTTCTATACTGCTCAGCGACCCTTGAAACTCAGATAGAACTCAGAACGTAATTGAGACTATGTTGAATCAGTGCAAATTTCATAATTTTCATAGCTGCTTGTCATTTAGTGACGGAGATGGCACTGTTAGTCTTGAGGAGGAGGCACTCCAAGGTTTCCTTGTGTGGGCTGGGTAAACCAGTCGGGTTGAAGAGGATTTTACGACACAGAATTCCTGATCTTGCCCAAGAAATCCTTCAAATACGCGCTCAAGGCGAACACTTCTGAAAATATTAATAAAAGTTCCCGCTAGCGTAACTGGTCCAAACTAGCGGAGTACTGTGAAGCTTTACAACTTTCTAAATAATCGTACGAAAATTTACTTTCGATCTGATGTTTTATTTCACTTCAGTAAAAGCAGAAGCCCTACCGAGGGAAGAGTTATTCCTGACGGACTTTGAGTGTTTAGGAAAAAGGGTCAGGCTAGGCCCAATAATGAGCGTTCACTCGGATAACGCCCCCCCCCTGGCCCTTTCGTGCGTGAAAGCCTCTTTTGACAGACGATTAGAGACGCGGCCAACTCTCATGGCATGAAATTTTTTCACGAAAAATGGACAATGGGGTTTCGGGTACTTCCTTGAGAAAAAAAAAGAAAAAACTCGGGTCGCTTCAAGCAAAAGTGAGAGTTCCCACTCTCTAGGAAC